CTTGTCAGTATAAATCTGACACTTATGGCAGGTTTGAGAGTGTTGATAATAATCTGCTTCCATGGTAGACCAATAATAGCCTACCTGCAGGATTTTCTTTGCCATCGTATGCCCACTGGAATGGGTGCCAAAAGTGCCTTCATGCAATTCAGCCATAATCCTTTCAGCTTCAACCTTATCTATGCACCGAAGTAACATAGATTCATGATTACGTTTGTACAGGATGTCGTTACTAAGGAAGAATTTAGAAGAGAATCTCCTTAATAACTTCTTATCATTGACTGAAGCTCCTTCTGGATATTCTTGAGCCTTAAGATACCTCTTGACTTCGTGAAACCAAGGCTGGTCTACTACCTCTTCAGTATTAATCTCGTGACACTATGTTGGTTCATCCATTCGTTCAATGCTAATCTAGGGAGCCTCGTTATCCCAATTAAGTTTAAACATAGATGACATTGTGGCTAGTGCGTCTACTAGCTGACTTTCTTCTCGCGGGAAATGCTCGAAGGTAATCTTCTCAAAATGTGATAGCAATGTCAAGACATGTTCTTTATAAGGGATAAGGTTAGGGTGTTTGGTGTCCCATTCCCCTTTGATCTGAATGATGACCAAGGCTGAATCTCCAAATACATCCAATGATTTGATCCCCAAGTCTATGGCAGCTCTGAGACCAAAGATGCATGCTTCGTATTCTGCCATGTTGTTTGTACAATTGAAGCAAAGTCTTGCAGTAAAGGGAGTATGACACCCTTCAGGAGATATGAGTACAACACTGATACCATTGCCAAGTGCGTTGGATTCCCCATCAAAGAACATGGTCCATTGGGATCCTTGTTCACGTCCGTCATATGGCCTGAATTCTTCACAATTGTCTAATGTCATGATGTCTTCATCCAGAAATTCGAATTTCATGGACTGGTAGTCTTCTACAGCTTGTTGAGCAAGGTGATCGGCTAACACACTTCCCTTTATAGCTTTCTGGGTAGTATACTGTATGTCGTACTCTGTTAGGATCATCTGCCATCTCGCTATTCTTCCAGAAAGAGCAGGCTTCTCGAAGATGTATTTTATCGGATCCATTTTAGATATCAATAAGGTAGTATGAGTCAGCATATACTGTCTTAGCCAGCGAGCAGCCTATGCCAGAGCGCAACAAGTTTTCTCGAGAAGTGAATATCTGGTTTCACAGTCGATAAACTTTTTGCTCATGTAGTAAATAGCATGCTCTTTTCGGTCAGACTCGTCATGTTGCCCCAATACACACCCCATTGAGTTTTCTAAAACAGTCAGATACATGATCAATGGTCTTCCCTCAACTGGTGGCATCAACACAGGAGGTTCTTGTAAGTATTCTTTGATTTTGTCTAAAGCAACTTGGAATTCATCATTCCATTTGACTACTTGATCTTTCTTCAATAGTTTGAAGAAAGATTGGCTCATAAGTAGCTGTCAGGTGAGAAATGAATCTAGCAATATAGTTCAAACATCCCAAGAATCCTCTAACTTCCTTTTCAGTACGAGGAACAGGCATCTCTTGTATTGCTTTAACTTTGGCATGATCGACCTCGATACCTTTGCTGCTGACGACAAAACCTAGGAGTTTACCAGACCGTACTCCAAATGTGCATTTGTTTGGATTCAACCTCAGCTTGTACTTATTCAGTCTCTCAAATAGTTTTTGTAAGTGATCAAGATGCTCTTCTTATGTTTGAGATCTGGCTATCATATCGTCCATGTAGACCTCTATTTCGTGATGTATCATGTCATGAAATAAAGCTACCATGGAACGCTGATAGGTTGCCCCAACGTTCTTTAGTCTGAATGGCATTACCTTGTAGCAGAATGTGCCCCATTGTGTGACAAATGTTGTTTTCTCCATGTCCTCATGCGCCATTTTGATTTAGTTGTAACCTGAGAATCCATCCATGAAGGAAAACACTTTGTGTTGTACCGTATTGTCAACTAAAATATCAATGTGGGGGAGTGGAAAATCATCCTTAGGGCTTACCCTATTCAAATCTCTGTAGTCCACACACATTCGCACTTTGCCGTCTTTCTTGGGCATGGGAACAACATTGGCAACCCATTGGGGATAGGAGGTGACAACCAAGAATCCAACGTTGAATTGCTTCATGACCTCTGCTTTAATCTTTTCTGACATATCAGGCCTCATACGGCGAACATTTTGCTTTACTGGTGGACAATCCTCTCTTGTAGGAAGACGATGTACCACGATGTCTGCATCAAGTCCCGGCATGTCTTCATACGACCAGGCAAAGACTTCAACATAATCGTGTAACAACTGAATCAGACGCTCCTTGATAAAGGGTTTCAGATTGGCACCCACCTTGACCTCTTTTTTGTCTTCTTTGATACCTAGGTTGATTGTATCCACGGGTTCCTCGTGAGGTTGAATGGTTCTCTCTTCTTGTTGTAGCAGTCTGGAAAGTTCCCCTGGTACTTCACAATATTCCTCACCTTCGTCTTCGACTTGGTAGATTAGATTCTCAGAGTCACAAAAGGCCATAACAGTATCGTTACCCATGGGATCCTGAATGGATTATACCTGCATTATGAGTGTGGATGTGTGTAAGGGTCTATCCATCTTTGAAAGAAAGTAAAATGTAAAAGAAAAACAATGAGCATAAAAGTTTGTATGCGAAAACGTCCATGATTCATTGATGTCATATGAAAATGAGATAATAACCCTTACAAATGGACCACTGTGCCTCAGGTAAGACACAAGGTTTTAAGAGTGCGAATTGTTTCAATATTACAGATCCAACAAAATGTAAAGACAAATTACTGTGGGATAAAAGTGATTGGGACAAAGTCTCTAGCCTTCCAATTGCTTAGCCCTCCATTGGTAGTCGGGAAGATCCAATCCTCTAGGTTGCAGCCATCTTCACTGTCTTCTATCGCGTTGACTTCACGGTTGCTGATCTTCAGGGGTGGTCCTTCAGCACGGGCACGACGTACATCTTTTTGAGCACTTGAAGTGAAACCTAGGCCAAACTTGTCAGACTTATATGGGATATCTGGGAGTTGTCCCCAAATAGTGCACCCTCATTCTTCTACCACTATTTTGGCGTCCTTCAACGATGACATCCGGAGTGGAGGCCTTGTAATCTTGGGAACTTGAGACACAACCTTGGTCACTGCCACATCTTGCGGGACCTCTTCAAAGTGTTGAAATGGAGTTTCAATAAATTCGCCATCTAATTCCATATATCTGAAGGAATTGAGATGGCTAATCATGTATTCTTCCTCTCCATGAACGGTGATAATCTTCCCTTGAACCAGATACTTCAGCATTTGGTGCAACGTAGAAGTAAGAGCACCAGCATTGTGGATCCATGGTCGGCCTAGCAAGCAGGAGTATGAAGGGCGGATGTCCATTACATAAAAAGTTGAATTGAAAGTTTGGGTTCCAACTTTTATGGGGATGTCCACTTCCCCATGCACCATCCTCTTCGAGCCGTCAAAAGCCCTTACTACTATGTTGCTTGGCTTTAATGTCAGTCCCTCACAGTCAAGTCTATCAAGAGCCTTTTTCGGTAATACATTCAGAGACGAGTCAGTGTCCACCAAAACATGAGCCAAGGTTGTGCCCCTACATTCAACCGAGACATGCAATGCCTCATTATGTTTCCTTCCCCTCGGTGTTAGATCATCATCCGAAAAACCTAGGCCATTATCTGCTGTCAAGCTGGCTACGCAGTCTTGGAATTGATCAGCATACGTCTCTTGAAGTACATGGGTGGTTTTTAATAATTTTACCAAGGCTTTTGCATGCGCCTCGGAACATAGTAGTAATGCTAGCGTGGAGATTTTAGAGGGAGTTTGCCCCAGTTGTTCAACTACATCGTAGTCGCTCCTCTTTATAATTTTTAGGATCTCCTCCATTTCTTTCTTGGAAGTCTCAGGGATAGTTAATGACTGGGCCTTCATCCGGACAGACTCAACCAGAATACTTTTTCCTCGAGTCTCAGCAGTAGGAGTGTCAGTAAGGAAGTTAATTTTTTTTACCCATTACAACATTGTAAATTAACGTTTGAATAATAATCAATGTTAAATAAAAATATCTCTATCCAAGTTATTTGGACTTTAGTAGAAAATGAGCTTCCACTAAAAATGAATCGTTCAAGTACTATCCGAGTTTGATTCTTGATCAGTAAATCATCCTTCTGAACTATAAAATCAGATTAATCGATTCACTAAGTGAATCAGAACTGATTGACTAAATAAAAAATAAATAAAAAAATTTGCTGAAGTGTTTTACCTTATATTATTTTAAATATGATTATTTTCAATAGAGTACCTCTATAGAATTAAAAACATAAATGAACAATTAAATTAAAAGAAATTTTTTACTAACACTAATCTTTTATATATTATAATATTTTTTTTTATAATTTATTAATATAAACAATTTATTAATATTTATAAATCAATAATTTTTTTATAAATAAATATAAATAATATATATATTTTTGTGAGAAAATAAATAATATTTTGATACTAAACATATGATTATTATTTTATATTATTATTTAATGGTAAAATATCTTAGAATTTAATTGAATATTAAAAAAGTTGATGAGTTAAAAGTATTGCATTAAGGGCGTAAAATAATTTTATAATATTATTTAATAGAAAATAATTATTCTATTATATTGTTAAATTTTTTTAAAAATAAAAGATGATTTAATTGAATACTCCATAGTTGTGATTAGCTTATTATGTAGATGAATTCATCCAAAAACAAAAATTAAAGATAATAATGTATCCAATCAAAATAAATTTTATGTAAAACAAAGAAAGACAAACTCTAGAATACAGGAGTATTTAAAAAACTAATGGGGCGCCAGTAAAAGGGCATATAACCCGAATGGAAGGGTGCCGCCATACCATAAACCCTTGAGGCTGAGGTTTATAATATTAACGACGATATTATTCACCAAATCGGATTGTAAATTAGGGTTATTCGTAACTGCGAGATGGCGGCGCTGAGTTCTGACAACGGCACCGTCGTCTTCATCGACACAAACCTCGACACTCACTTGGCCCTCACCGTCTCCGATCACGACACCGTTTCCGACTTCAAAAGTAATCTCTCTCACTCTCCGTCCTTCTATTACTTTACATTGTTTAGTTTTCGTTGAACTTCAGTTGATATGCATGCTTTTTGTTTGTAGAGAGAGTCGTGTTAGAGCATCCTTTATGTTTCCCCAAAATCGGACAGATTCAGATTAACGGGATTAAGGTACTTTCACTACCGCCTCCATTGTTGTTCAAACTATGATTGTTGCAATGTAATGTGTTATTGATTATGTTGTTTTTCTTTGGTTTTGTTTTTGTTAGGTTAAGCGTAATGGTCACTTTTATCACCTTTCGGATTCGATGATTGTGAAAAGTGCTTTTAGTGGTTACAACAAAAGCTGGTTTCTTAGTGTTGATGTTTCTGCGTTGGAAGATTGTAGACAGAATGAACAATTGTTTTCTCATGCTTCTCTTTGTCCGGTGGATTCTATTGGCGTTGTTAATAATGCTTTGGTTCGTCCTAGTGATGATAATGCTGTTATTTTACCATGCAATTACCAGTTGCAAATGTTGGAGGACAAACGGAATGAAAAGGAAGGAGTTCCTGTTAGTCCTTGTGTTTCTGAACACAGTGCTAGTAAAGTGGTCACAAATTTGAAGGCGGGTGTCAATTCGTCTGACCATCATGATATAGAAATTCCATCGCCTGGTTCAATCCCCAAGATAGATGACTCTGGTCGTTTAAATAATGAAGTTCCGGGTTTACATATGGAATGCGAAGTAGATGGGATCAATGAAGGAAATAAGGGGGATTGTAATGTGTATGAAGATGAACCTTCAGTATCTGTGCAGAGTGAGACGAGAAAACAGAAGAAGAAAAGGAAAAGAGAAGACACTGTGGAGGGTGATAATTCCATAGAAGAAATTGCTTCTGATCATCCCCGGGTTTCAGAGGACACTGATAAAAAAGCTTTGAAAAATTTGGAGATGGTTCCAAGTTTAAATATTGAAGAGATGGTTCCGAGTTTAAGTATTGAACGTAAAGCAGATGAACCCCGGGAAGGAAATAAGGATGATTGTAATAGGGGTGAAGATGTACCTTCAATAACTGCACCAAGTGTGAAGAAGAGAAGAAAGAACAGTAAAAAGAAAAAAGAAGATGCTGCTGGAGGTAATAATTCAAAAGAAGAAACCCCTTCTGATCACCCGCATGTTTCAGAGCACCCTGAAAAAGAAGCTGTGAAAAATTTGGAGGTGGTTCCAAGTTTAAATATTGAATGTGAAGTAGATGGATCGGTGCCAAGTGAAAAGAAAAAGCGTAAGAGTAAAAAGAGAAACAATGACACTGAGGGAGGTAATAACACAGAAGTTAACATTGGCTCTGTCAATAATCCTGTCGGTTGTCCATCCGAAAGGGCATCCAGTTTCAACATTTTTCAAATGCCACAGTCCGAGAACAAGCAGGATGAAAAAGAAGAAATCCCTATTGACCGCCCATGCATTTCACCGCTCACTGAAAAAAAAGCAGTAAATAATTTGGAGATGGTTCCAAATTCACATATTGAATGTGGGATAGATGGGTCCAATAAAGGCAGTAAGGATGACTCTATTGTATATGAGGAAGGAACTTCTAGCGCAAAGAAAAAGAAGAAGAGTAAAAGGAAAAGAGAAGATGCTGCAGCAGGTGATATCTCCAACGATAACATTGCTTCTTTTGATAATCCTCCCGGTTGTCCATCTGAAAGGGCACCCAATTTCAACAGTTTTCAGATGCCTCAACCAAAGAACAAACAGGGTGAAAAAGAAGAAATCCCTTTTGACCGCCCATCTGTTTCACAGCCCACTGAAAAAGAAGCAGTAAAAAATTTGGAGATGGTTCCAAATTCACATATTGAATGTGAGGTAGATGGATCCAACAAAGGCAGTAAGGATGACTCTATTGTGTGTGAGGAAGGAACTTCTAAACCCGCTCTAAGTTCAAAGAAAAAGAAGAAGAGTAAGAATAAAAGGCAAAAAGAAGACACTGCGGGAGATGATATCTCCAAAGATAACATTGCGTCTGTTAATAATCCTCCTGATTGTCCATCTGAAAGGGCATCCAATTTCAACAGTTTTCAGGTGCCTCAATCAAAGAACAAACAGGATGAAAAAGAAGAAATCCCTTTTGACCGTCCACGTGTTTCACTGCTCACTGAAAAAGCTGTCGAAAATTCGAAGATGGCTTCAAATTCACTTATTGAATGTGAGGTAGATGGGTCCAGTAAAGGCAGTAAGGATGACACTATTGTATGCGAGGATGGAACTTCTAAACGTGCACCAAGTGCAAAGAAAAAGAAGACGAATAGAAGGAAAAAAGAGGAGACAGTGCAAGATGATACTCTGAAAGAAATCGATACTTCTGTCGTTGTGCCAGCTCAGCAGGATAATGTAGTCCTAGCCAACTCTTCAGAGAATGCAAATAAAGATTCTGTTGGTATGCCAGCTCAGCAGGATATTGTAGTCCTAGCCAACTCTTCAGCGAATGCAAAAAAAGAAGTAATTAAGGAAACTGATGTTTTAAAGGAGCATCAGAACACTGTATGCAAGGATAATAACACTAAGAATGACGTTAATGTTCTGTCAACGAATGAGGCTTCAGAACTCATGTCTCCTGCAAAGAAGAAGCAAAGGAAAAGGAAGAAATCTGTAGCTCATGAGTCAAAAGGTGATAATACTCCGAAAATGGGTGAAAATAGAAAATAACTTAATTTTTGTCTTTATCATGTTAATATTAATTTGATAAGTTTATAATGTCATACTTTAAGATCTATCACTGATCTTTTTTCTTTCCTTGCGGGTAGATATCATTATGAGCGAAAAAAATCTTGACAAAATGGAGATTGGGACGGATGCTTGCAAAGAAAGCATGCAGTCTACTACAAAAGAAGCTGAAAATTTTAAGAACCAAAGTCATATTGAATTGGAAGTACAGCTTTCTGATGCAAATGAGCCCAAGGGTCTGATGGAGAAAAATGAGAATGTTGTTGATCATTGTCACGAAAAGGAAGTTGGTCAAATCGATGGAGCTGCGGCAGGAGAAGTATCACCACAAAATGTTGACATGAATGGAATAAAGGAACCTGTAAAACCAGTGAAGGAGAAAAAGGGGATAAAAAAAGCTACGAGTAAAGGTGTAGGACAGACACTTAGAAAAGATAATGGCCATGCGGATGCTTCTGAAAGTGAAACTGTCGTTACCAAGTCTCTTAAAGCAACCATTTGCGATCCTATGCCAGGAAATACAGAGACAAAGGAAAATCCTCTAAATCAAACAGAAGGGAAAGTACTTCAGCAGGAGAAAATGCAAGGGACTGTTCCTTCTGTGACAAATAATGGAGATGAATTTAGCACTGAAAATATTGATTCCCCGGAACAAACTAAAACAATACCTAATGCTCAAAATGTGGATGAACATGTGAGCAAGAAACTGAAGAACATTTCAAACAATAAACAAACTTCTACCCCAAAGGGCACATCAGATATGCTAACAAATGGTCATGCTTTTGATAGTAAGAAAGAGCGTGTCGTAAACAGAATTGATAAGGCACCAAATGCACACAAGAGGGGACAAGTTTCAAAGTTGTCTAGTCAGTCTGACAGCGGCATGTCCTCAGTTGGTGAATATAGAAAACCTCCTAACAGTGCTTCTGGTAAAAGTAGGGATTTGGAAAAGCAAAGGAAACAGATTCCTACTTCAAATGCAAAGCTGGAAGAAGGTTTCAACAAAATGGTTCAAAATAAAGCAAGAAAAGCTTCTGGGAATGATGCTGTGAGAGTTGTGAGTAACTCTCAGCAGAAGAAGAGCTTGTTAGATGGAGCAATTTTCAAAGATGACAGTGACAGTGCCTCAGAAGATGAAGATAATGCTTATAATTCTGATGCCAGCACTAGAACTCCATCAGATAACTCAATCCCATCTGATTTAGACGGGTATGATAGTCCAGATCTGAATTCACAACAAAATGGTAAGTGGTGTCTACTTTGATCGTGAGTGTACCTTTATTTATGTATCAACGAATGCAAATAATTCCTTGGGTGGCCGGGTTGTGGGTGGATGGAGAGTTCTGACTGTTTGTGCCAAGTTTACTTTTTCTTTTCTTCCCAGTACATTGAGAGCATATCTTTGGTACTTATGTAATGCACTGTTAGCTATGAAGCACGAACACCGGAAATACGACACTGACACGTCGACACCGACACGTCGACACCGACACGTCGACACCGACACGTTGACACCGGTAATAATTTAAAAAAATGAATAAGTTAAATGTAATCACAAGTGTTGGTGTCGGTCTCGGACACCAACAGTGAGACAAACACATCTTTTTTCAGAGGTGTCGGTACTATAGGGACTGTTAGTTCTAATATATGTGTCGGAAGAGCTGCAAGCATGTAGATAAATCATTTTTAAGGTTTAAAATTTTATTTTTCTTTCAGAAATTGATATGAAAAGCTTGTTTGCCATCCTGGTAATTTTGAAACTTTTGAAGTTTATATTATCAAGTTGTTACTTAGTTAGGGATGGAAGGTGAAATGACAACTATTAGATTATTGCAGTTCAGATTTTTTTTGGATTAGTTGTTATTGCTATTCCAAGAAACTACAGGTAGGCACTCACTCAGCATACTCGATAATTTTTCTGTTTACTACTGGGTCACTATTTTCATATCTACTGCACTTACTCAGATTATGTAGTAGTCTTACTAAATTTCATAATGTACTGTTTGTTTCATATGTAGTAGTCTTACTAAATTTCATAATGTACTGTTTGTTTCCTGATATGCTTATTGTTCTTGATGTTGTTGATGACAAGCTTGAATTAAAGATTTAGACCACTATGCCTAAACTTTGGAACCAATTTTTTCTGTATCAAATTGAATCAGGTTCTTATGATGGGAAAGGGCTGGAAAAGGATGAAAGAAGTTCCTTAAAATCAAGGTAAGTAAATTTCTTATGAGTTTGCAACGTGGGCACATTGATACTTGCATGCTTAAAAGCATTGTTAAAAATATTTGTACGTAGAATAGTCCCACATCAACTATATCATAGCATTAGTTATAATCTCTCTATATATAATAAAGTCTCCGTAGTGCTTTTTAAAACACACGGTTTAACCTAAATGTCTCTTAGTCTCTCCTAATTCAATATGGTATCAGAGCCTACCAAGAGGCAATTCTTCGCCGTGTTTTACCCGGTTGATCCACTGTCTTCCGGTGACAATTTTTTTTTTTGCAAACCGTGTCATCACTCCGGTTTGCCATCTTAGAATGTATGAGTTGGACCTAACTCAACCCTACAAAACCGGCTTGTAAGGTGAGAATTAGGCCATATATTGTCCGATGTGGGACTCTTAACACCCCCTCTCACGCCCAGGAATTAGGGTTGGAGCGTGGAACTAAATGGTGGGTGGCCCAATGGATCTTAGATGAGGCTCTGATACCATCTTAGAATGTGTGAGTTGGACCTAACTCAATCCTACAAAACCGGCTTGTAAGGTGAGGATTAGGCCATATATTGTCCAATGTGGGACTCTTAACACTCCCCCTCTCACGCCCAGGAATTAGGGCTGGAGCGTGGAACTAAATGGTGGGTGGCCCAATGGATCTTAGATGAGGCTCTGATACCATCTTAGAATGTGTGAGTTGGACCTAACTCAACGCTACAAAACCGGCTTGTAAGGTGAGGATTAGGTCATATATTGTCCGACGTGAAACTCTTAACAAAAGCAATAAATTGTTTCCAACGTGTCTCTTTGTGCTTCAGCCATTCTCAGTTTTATTTATCATCCTTCAAAAATTCTTTACATAATCCTGAAACACTTTAAAAATGAATTATAACAATGACTCTAACTTGAACCTGAACTTATATTTGACTTGTCAAATTATTTATACATATTAACATAGCTACACTTACTGTTAGTATGTTATTTGGGTCTAGAGGTGATAACTAATTAGGGTCTTGAGGTATATTTTCTGTTGCTTTTATTGCATGACTATGATACTTTAATGCAACTTTTCTTTGATAAAGTGTTGGTCTATCACTATATGCTTACTATCGTTCAGTTTATCATTATGTTTCTTTTCATGTTGGAGATAAAAATAATGGAATATATTCCTATAATACATCATCTTTTAGAAGGATGGATCATTTTATAATGAATCGTGCCATTCACATCCACGACCATCATGTGAGAGATGTAAACTAGTTGCGCATTGGTCTCAAAATTAAAGTTTGGGCTTGTTACAAGAAATTATTTTTAAGGGTAACTAACTAATTTGTTGAATGTATAAATGCTTTCTTTGTCGGGGACATGCTTGTTGTTGCTTAGTAAGAACTATTAACAGGAAGATCCGTCTAACATCTGGTCTTTCAATCTCTACACCATTGCTGATTATAGATGTTTTTGGGGCTTCTCTTTTGTTTTACTTTTCATTATGTATGTGTTTCGTATTGCATTTTTGAATTTGCAAATGGTGAATTCTGAAACATTTTTGTCCAGTTTGTCAGACACAACAAAATTGCCAATTGAGCAAATCCTTAGAAGCTCAGCAAGGTATAAGAAAGCCAAAATTACAGCCTCCCAATTGGATGAATCTGAAACTCCGCCGGAATTTGTTCCCGACAGCCTTGCTTAGATGTAGTCACAAGTTTCAGCATTGTGATATTTTTGTTCTCCTCCCTAGCTGATGTAGGGTGTTCTTAGGTCATCTACTTTTCACCTTTGCAAACAATGCCAATTTTCTTTGGAGATTGTTTACAGATCATGATGGGATTTATGTTAGAACCTGATTTATTAATTATATTATTATCATCATTACCATAGAGATATAAATAAAGTACATTAATCAATGTTTTGTAGAATTATGTTGTGCATCTATATAATGTTAATAGTATTTTGTTATTCTTCATATTTCTTACCGGCTGAGGTTCTGTGCAGTGTATACTAAGCATTGATAGATTTTAGAGTCATATATATTCTCAAGCAATAAATGTATAAAGAAGTGATCAAGAATGGCAGTTGATGTGTATTTCAAATAAGTTGAACAATAAACATTAGAGTTAAATTACTTTCTCAACAAGAAAGTTTCAAATTAGAAGTATATAGTTGAATATATGAGGTAAATTTGTCAAAAATATGCTGAGATTTTGCAAAAGTTTTAGTGTAATTTTTCTCATGCATATGTTTGGGAGTGCGATTCAGTCAAGCCACCGCAAGTTTAACTGGATTTCACCATGGAAATGCACTTGTTACAAACTGTAGCTACAACTGTTTTCTCTCAACTGAAGCCAAACACTCAAATGTGTCAAATGTACTTGTGTGATTCTAAAATCCCTATTACCTCGCCCAACATGAATCAAATATATTTAATAAATTTGTTGAAGGTGCTTGTTAGAGAGATGAAATGTTTAATCTGTAAAAACAAAAATGAGTGATGTCCAATAGTGAAATGATCTCAAATAAAGAACAAAGTAAGCCAAATCAGAAAATGAAATGGCTGCTAAGGATAAGTAGAAAACCGAGTTTGATATATAACACAAAATAGAGAAAGAAAGAGCATTAGATATAAGTTACAAGCAAGTGTTACAGACAGACATTACACAAAAATCACCCACCCCTGTTTACTCAGATCTCATCTTATTGATCTGGTTAAGAGCAGGCTGCAAAATATTGTAAAGCACCCAAAGTATAGCTGGTGCAACCACAAACAGCAGAAGTGTTCCCCTGTTGTCACTTCGAGCAGCCTCAGCGATCATACCTATCTCACTAGCAGATGCTTCTGACACCATACCCGATACCGCAAGCCCACCAAGCCCGAGTCCAAGCCCAACAATCACTCCCCTCGTGCTACGCATACGGTTGATTTGGTTCAAAGCTGGTTGCAATATGTTGTACAAAACCCACCCTATAGCTGGAACCAATGGCAACAACAGTGCTAATCCTCTGTTATCACCTTCTGCTATTTCTGCTATTTGTTGAGCGGCAAAAGCAGCATCACAGGTTGCGAGGGAAGAAAATATTGCCCCTGCAATTGCAATGGAAGGTGATACAACGTTGGTGTCAATAGAGGTAAGAGCCTTTGGTAGGTTCTGAACGGTGGTGGTTTTGCATGTTGTTACTCTAGTAGTGCTAGTTGCTGGGTTTTGCAACTTTGGTATGGCTGTGTTTAGACACTTGGAGTTGATCATCATTGCCATTGTTGCTGCCATAGATGAATACTATGTTGAGATTGACACAGATTCTTCAAGAGTGGTAGGGAACTGGTCTTTGCTATTGAAGAATGGGGACTAGAGTTTGTTTAGAATATAGATGGGAAAGCCACGTTGGAGAAGTGAGAACCAGTTATATTGTGATATGTAGATTCTTCTCTTATCTAAATAGCCTAATTGGCGAGATTTCCACCTCCTATTCTTGGATTCTTATCACCTCACTTCAAATACTAACTAAAATTCAACAATACATTATTATTGTCTTCAATTGTTTAGATGTGACAAGGTGAGGATCACCAACATGTTGTCACGCAACAAACAAATAAAAGACAAACAAATAAAAGACACAGTAGTGATGAAAATCACCATTGAAAATTCGAAAATATTCTTTGGAGATATACTTCCGAACGCACTTATCAACATGTTTTGGAAGTGCATTTCTGAAGGTACCCTTTTTCACGTTTTATAACATAAATGTTGGATTTGAACTTTTTGAGGTAGTTTCGGAGTTGCACATGCGAAACATGCAAATAGGTTATTTCGGATGTGCATCTCCGAAACTACCCTTTCCATATCAAAATGCTGCATGATCGTCTATTCTAATAGAGTAGTTTACAATTCATGCCCTTATTTTATCTTTATATTCTGTTGTGCTGAGCTGTCAGCTTTGTTATGCTGAGCTGTTAGTTTGTTACACTCTATCAGCTATTTGTTAGGATTACATTGCTATATATAGCAGCCTCTTGTATCACTGTTCAGTACTGAATACAATCAGTTTCTCTTTCAATTCTCTCTCTTATACCTAATTCTATCATGGTATTTAGAGCTTAAGTTTTTTTTTCCGATCCATGGAGCCTTTGTTTCCTTCCTCTCAGGTGAAGCTTTCTCACCTAATTTCTGTTAAGCTTGACGACAAGAATTTCAAACAGTGGAAGCAGCAGATTGATGGCGTCGTTCGTGGCCATCGTCTTCAACGCTTTGTTACTGTTCCGGTGATTCCGCCACCGTCTCCCTTAGATCCTGCATCTCACAGTGTGTTTCTTGAGTGGGAGCAACAAGATGCTCTCATCTGCACCTGGCTTCTTTCTACCATCTCCGATGCACTTCTTCTAAAGCTTGTTGAGTGCAAGCACGCGTGGCAAGTCTGGACAGAAGTTCATCGTTACTTTGATGTTCTTCTCTCCACCAAGGCTCGTCAACTCCGATCAGAGCTCCGGCGTCTTACGAAGGGTTCACTGACGATTGCTGAGCTTATGACGCGTTCACGTGAGATCAGTGAGTCGCTAACCTCCATCGGTGATCCTGTTCCTCTTCGTAACCTAATTGAGATCGTTCTTGATTCGCTACCTGAGGATTATGATTCTATCGTCGCTGCCGTTAATAGCAAAGATGACGTAAGCTCCTTGGAAGAATTGGAGTCTTCCTTGCTTGCTCATGAGTCGCGATTGGAGAAGCATCGCAAAGCTGCGATTGCGGAACCGGTGACGGTCAATCTTACTCAGGCAACACCTTCCCCTGCTCCGGTCGCCTCCGATCAAGTCGTCTCGGAGGCATTTCCTCAAGGAACGAGTCATGTCACAGCTAATGCTGAAAATCATTCCTATGGCGCACGTGGTGGTCGTTCTGGTCGCGGCGGTGGTCGTTTTGGCCGTGGTGGAGGTCGTTTTGGAAAATCAACATGTCAGATTTGTCACAAACCTGGTCATGATGCTTCAGTATGCTACTATCGTTATGCAAATTCCAGTGGTGCTAGTTATCCACAACAACGTGCTCCCTTCAATCCTTTCCTTGTGGCTCCCCGTGCTGTTTATCCTGTGCAGTTTGCTTATCCTTCTCCCAGAGCTGCACCTCCTAGATCTTCTGCACCACAAGCCTTTTATGCAGGTACTGAAGCTAGTAGCGCAAATCAATGGTGGTATCCTGACTCGGGAGCTTCTCATCATGTTACTCCTGATGCCTCTAATGTGTCTGACTCTGCCTCTGTGCCTGGAACTGAACAAGTCTTCATAGGTAACGACCAAGGTTTGCCTATCAACTCTGTAGGTTCTATGTCTTTTCCCTTACCTCACAAACCTCACCTATCTCTCACCCTTAGAAATCTCTTACATGTCCCTCACATCACCAAAAATCTTATGAGTGTGAGTAAATTTGCTTAAGATAATGCTGTGTTTTTTGAATTTTATCCTAAGTTTTGTGTTGTCAAATCTCAGGCTACTTCTGAAGTTTTACTCAGTGGTCTTGTTGGTGCTGATGGCCTCTATAAGTTTCCCAATCCTGCTGCTCCTCAATTTTCCAAGTCTCTCCCCTCTTGTAGTTCTAGTTATAGTTATCCTGCAACAAACAGTTGTAATACTTCATATCTGACAAATTCTATATCTCATTGTACTGAATCCTTTGATAGTAATACTACAAATCATCTGTCTCCTTGTAATGACTTTTGCAATAATAATATTACAAGTTCCTTTTTCAGTCCTTCTCTTAATTCTGCTACTGCTAGTACTGTTTTACCTTCACCACACTCTAATAATGCAACCTCTATTGCATCTAATAAATATGTGCTTTGGCATACTAGGTTGGGACACCCTAACCATCATGCTCTTGTTGAAATTTTTAAACTATGTAAACTGTCTATGCCACCTAAACCCCCTGCAGAGTTGTGTCATGCTTGCTGCATTGGCAAGTCTCATAGACTTCCTTCTTCATTGTCTACCACAGTTTACTCTCATCCTTTTGAGCTTGTTGTGTGTGATCTCTGGGGTCCTGCCCCTATGCAATCTTCCAGTGGTTATACCTATTTCCTAACATGTGTTGATGCCTTCTCTAGGTTTGTTTGGGTTTTTCCTCTCAAACTTAAGTCTGACACCTTGGTTCAGTTCCTTCAGTTTAAGAAAATGGTAGAGCTTCAATTCAACTGTCCCATTAAATGCGTCCAAACTGATGGGGGAGGTGAGTTTAGGCCTCTTACTAAATATCTCACAGATTTTGGGATTGTCCATAGATTCACTTGTCCTCATACACATCACCAAAATGGTCTTGTTGAACGCAAGCATAGGCACATTGTTGAGACTGGTCTCACACTTCTTGCTCAGTCCACTCTTCCCTTAAAATTCTGGGATCATGCATTTATTACAGCTGCATATCTCATCAACAGAATTCCTACTCCTACCCTTGACAATGTCTCACCTTATTACAAATTACTTCACAAAACCCCTGACTATTCTACTATTAAAGTCTTTGGATGTGCTTGTTATCCTTTCCTTCGTCCCTATAACTCTCATAAGCTTGACTTTAGATCTCAATTATGCATCTTCTTTGGATACTCTACCTCTCATAAAGGCTATAAATGTCTAGCTTCAGATGGCCGTATTTTTATTTCCAAGGATGTTGTCTTTCATGAAGCAAATTTTCCTTATTCCACATTATTTTCTTCTTCTAAATCTTCCCCTCATTCTAATTCAGCATCCTCCTCCTCTCCCTCTCTCAGCTTCCCACCTGTTCCCTCTGTCTCTGCTCCTTCTACTCCAAGTTTATCTTGTCTTCCTTTCTCTCCCTCAAATTCTGCCTTTACTCAGCCTGGCAGTCACAATGTTCCTCATGTATCTCACATGTCTCCTTCCTCTTCCTCTGCTGCTCCCTCTCACAACTCTTCTTCTTCTTCTGGTCAGCAACTTATCCCTCAACCCCTAACTGCTATTCCCATTACCACTTATGCTTCTTCCTCCCCTGCCCTCATTCTCTCTGATCTAGCTGAAGCTAGCACTCTCTCTCCCTCTTCTTCCAATTCCTCTCCTTCAGTTGGCCCTTATCCTAGTCCCAACCCTAGTCCTATTTCCAGCCCTTCTGCCACAGCTTTACCTTCCATTCATCCTCAAAATATCCACCCTATGCAAACTAGAGCCAAAAGAGGCATTACTCTCCCTAGACTCCACCCTACTCTATTGTTAGCCCACCTAGAACCTACTTCTGTTGAGCAAGCCTTGGCTGCTCCTAACTGGTTTCAGGCCATGAAGGAAGAACATCAGGCACTGTTGAGAAATCAGACCTGGACTTTGGTGAAAGCTCCTGTTGGTAGGAAGCCTATTGGATGCAAGTGGGTTTTCAGAACTAAGGAGAACTCTGATGGTTCTATAAACAGGTATAAAGCCAGATTAGTGGCTAAAGGGTTCCATCAAAAGGCTGGTAGTGATTTTCAAGAGACCTTTTCTCCTGTCATTAAACCTGTCACTGTGAGAATTATCCTTTCTATTGCTGTTACAAACAGGTGGCCCTTGCAGCAGATTGATGTTAACAATGCCTTCCTAAATGGCATTCTTGAAGAGGAAGTATTTATGCAACAACCTCCTGGGTTTGAAGCTGCTGACAGGACTCTTGTTTGCAAGTTAAACAAGGCTATTTATGGTTTAAAACAGGCTCCTAGGGCCTGGTTTGATAAGCTCAAGAGTGCCTTGGTTCAACTTGGTTTTAAGGCTAGTAGATGTGATCCTAGCCTATTCTTGCTGCATCAAGGTAAACTTCAGATTATGATTCTGGTTTATGTTGATGACATCATCATCACAGGTAGTTCTGCTCCTTTTATAGCTTCCTTGATCAAGCATCTCAATGATAGATTCTCTCTCAAACAGCTGGGACAACTTGATTATTTCCTAGGGATTCAAGTGACTCATCTCTCCAATGGTTCCCTTCTCCTATCTCAGACTAAGTACATCACAGATTTGCTTTCCAGGCTTAATATGTTGAATGCCAATGGCATGCCTACTCCTATGGTCTCTAGCAGCAAATTGTCCAAGGTTGGGTCAGCTGCTGTTGATGATCCTACTCAGTTTAGGTCTGTGGTTGGTGCCCTTCAATATGCTACTTTAACTAGGCCAGAGATTTCCTTTTCAGTCAACAAAGTCTGTCAGTTTTTGTCCAATCCTTTAGAGGATCATTGGAAGGCTGTTAAAATAATCTTAAGGTACCTAAGTGGTACTCTACACCATGGTCTGCTTATTCAGCCTGCT